CCTAGAGGAAATCCTGGCCCCACCTCTTTGTGGATGCGTGCCCCTTGGCAAGTTTCTTAACCTCTCTGAGCCTCAGTTTCCTCACCTGTAAAAGGTGGGTGGGTAATAAGAGTACTTATCACACAGCGCCATTGGAAGCACGAAATGAGACCAGCACCTGGCACCTAGCAAGCACTCCTTGCACATTGCTACCACCATGAACCATCATATGTGTGTTCCTGTTTTTAACCATCCTTCTGTTTGAGGGACCTCAGGTGGCATTCGATTTGTAACTATTACAAACCATACTTTCCCACATCTTTGCACATCTGTGAAGGACAGAGTAACAGAGTAACTTTGTTTCGAGCGCCTAAATTGGTTTATGCTGCAGTCTTCAAACTGCTGGCGGGGGAACCCTCGGATGCTGTTATTTCAGAGTTCCACAGGATCTATTCTGCCAAATGGGGAAGACTTGAACTTCCCCCAAAATTCGGTGTTTTGTTTATTGGGATTCAGCAGAACATTTCACTTGGAGAAAAAAAGAGAAAAGTTTGTCACTAAAAATGATTGAGAATCACTGATGGTTTTGGTCCAGAGAGAAAAGTTAACTCATTTATAACTTTTTAGTTATAAAAGTTCAGGAATAATTTCAGGGGCCATTTTGTTTACGCGTCCTCTGGCCATGTTTCGATGTGTGTGGAAACTACCTTGGACCGACGGTGCCTATCTCCTCCCAAGTCTGTGATCAGTGACGTCCACCTTGGAAGCTTAAAATCGACCAAGTTGGGAGCAGTCATACCGTTGTAACTGGCAAACACTACACGTCAGGGCTTCTTATGCCCCGGCAGAGCTGGTTACTAAACTTTCACCAGCACACTGTTGCGTGTTCCCAAACATTTTAATAGGCATCTTACTCATGTGTCTGCAGGGTTTCTTGGGTTTGGCTCACCCAGGCTGGGCTGGGCTCCAAGCTGGGGGTGGGATCTGGATCTGTTAAACGTGTCTCTCATGCTTGCCTGCACTGGGGCCAGTGCCGGACCCACTGGAGTTGCGCTATGAATATTTGTCGAATGATGGAAAAAGAGGACAACACTTTACCTTTGTTACTTCCCATCAGAGAGATGCTTTAGTTACGCTAAGACTTACTCTACTGACACCAGCTTTGGCTTGGAGATACATGGCCGATTTGAGCAAACACTGGAAACCTATTCACAGTTCAAACGGCGTCACCTCTTTGCAGGCCATGATAGGCAACACCCTTTTACTTGGCGGCAGAGATGGTGTTCGACGCACGTGTTTTGTGGTTGGCAGACCCTTCGTGCAGTTCCGCGAATGTAACCTAAAAACGTCCCTCTGCTGAGCCTTGCACCTCTGTGCTGGATGCCTAGCTGAGTCCTGGGTTAGAGAAGGTCGGCCTCTGCGACACTCAGCTGCTCCCGTGTTCTATCTATGTGAGGGGTTGGGCAGCCGGGTTGGATCCCCATTTCCCCACGGGGATCTGTGTGAAGGTGGTTTGTGAGGGCTGCGCTGTTTTTTTAAGTGTCACTTCCCATCAGATACCATCGTGGTTTGTGCAGCTCAGAGGGTTTTGGGCAGAGAACAGACAATGGAAGGCCTGGCACTGCTGGTACAACTCTGAATTAAAGAAGGAGGCTGGAACAAAGGACGCTCAGACAAGTGTCCAGGCCGATTATTCGGCTCTGAGTCTGCTGTTATCCATTCAGCCGTCATAAAAGGAGAGGCCAGCAGGAGTGCAGGATGTGCCCGGGCGACACTTTCCCTGAGCACAGAGAGCCATTGCTTTGGGGGCTGGACGGGGGTATCCGTGGGATCAAAGTTCTCTGCTAATCTCAGCCAACCTTCTATTATTATACACCACTACTCCCGTTCTTACAGGTGAGGAAACTGAGACGGGGGCGGGGCGGGGAGGGGGGGACTGTGGGGAAGTGGGGCAACGGGAGAAGGAAAATCACCTGCCCAATAATTCGGGTAGTAAGTAGGGGGAGCTGGGTTATTAGGTCACAAATATGTTTTTCCCTCTACATAATGTTGAAAACTTTAAGACAAAATTAATTGTCAATGCTTAAACAGGGGCAAACTTCAAATAAAAATAGACATTTTGATCCTCTCTCGAAAAATCTAAAATTCTGGCAACAGATGCTGCCATGCTCTCCAGACTGCCCACCTCTCTCTGTGGTTCTGCCCACCACAGAACCCACCTCTCTCTGCCGCCTCCCAGCGCCAGGGTGAGAGTCAGCTGCCTCATTTACATGTCCGGCCCGGCCTGGACAAGCCCCCAGTCTGGATCCCAGGATCTCGCAGGATGACTGCCAAGGTCCCGTTCTGCCATCGCAGCCTCCACCTCTGTGATTCCGTGAGCCCTGGGTCTTTTGCACGGGTGTTTTTGCCCACAATGGGCCCAGATGGTCCTGTCCCATATGCAGAAAGCGGTGCCCCTTCACTCTGCTGCCCTCCGGGTTCTGACTCTGTGCCCTTCCCCAGCTCACTGTCAAACCTACGTGTAAATTATTTTTTTAGAATTTGTATATATGGGATTTCCTTCAGCAACGTGTCCCCTTTTACAGGGAATGCAGACACATGAATCTAATGGTGAAATTTCAGGCCTTGGGTGGCCACTGGCAGAGGGGTGGGGGTGGGGTTCCCTCAAGGGTCTACAAAGAACGGAGAAAGCCCCGCCAGGTCTGGGTGGCAGCCCAGAACAGTGGGAACCTCCGGAAAAGCGGGTGGAAGGGCCATTCTGCTTCATTCTCTTGCCTCTGGAGTACTTCTACCTCCTCCTCGTGGAAGCTTTTGAAATGTCTGCCCTATCGTCCAGGCGAGCTGAATGTGATGAGAAGAAGTTTCAAACAGCTCTGTACTCTGCCTCCCTCCCCACCAGCCGCCCTCCTCACTCACCTGCTTACCTAGAGCTGGACTGGAACCGCTGGGCATAGACTTCCTGGGACCACACTGTGACAATGGCCACAGATCAAAACCAAATCACATAGCACAGAAAAATCGGTGTCTGGAAATGGTCCAGAGCGGGCATGGAACAGGAACCCTGCACAGGTGGGCAGATTAGCAGCTGACTGTCCGCTGGACCCCAGGCTCCATGCAGGGCTGGCTTTTCTGGGATCTCTGCCTTCTGCCTCCGAGGCTCAAGTGAGGCCCTTCTCTGCCCCCAGTACACCCCCTCTGGAAAGGCCTGGCCTTCGTGCCAGGGGGCACCCGGCAGTCCCCCATCAACATCCGCTGGAGGGATAGTGTCTACGACCCCAGTCTGCAGCCCCTCCGGGTCTCCTATGATGCGGCGGCCTGCCTCCACATCTGGAACACCGGGTACCTCTTCCAAGTGGAATTCGATGACGCCGCTGAGGGGTCAGGTGAGCCTAAGTTAGGGTTTGAGGCCTTTCTCTTCTCCTGTCACCTCCTAAGAGTGGGGTCATGGGCTTAGCAGAGAAGGGGATGAAAGCTTTGCTTATTTACATAGTTTGGGGACAAAGGACAGCATCGAGGAGGTGGGAACAGGAGAGCGATGCTCATTTTAAAGATTGTAATATTAATCACCCACATTCACACTTTTTAACTGGGGCCAAAACTATGAACAAAGTTAAGTCTTTTCCCTCATGGATTTACCTTCCAGAAACTGGGGAGGAAGAAACTTTAAGCTAAAAAAAAAAATGCAAATATATTGCACATCAGAGGAGAAAAACAGAGCAGGGCCGAAGAGAGAGGCACGGGGGTGGGGAGGCCTGACGGGGGTGGGCAGGGGAAGGAAATTGTGCCAATGATGGGGCGGGGCGTCCGGAGCCTGTTCACCTTGCTGATTCTTACTCAGAATGAGACGGGCTGCCAGCAGACACCGACCTGGCTGATGTTTTAGATGGATGTCCAGCTGCTGTGAGGAAGAGGAGGAGAGGAGGTCAGGGGTGAAACAGGGACCAGTAGGAAGCTGTCTATGATGACTGTGGTAGAGGGCTGTGGGGTGGGTGGACAGGGAGACTGGAGAGAGGCCCCAGAAGCCACCGACCGGGTCACAGTGCTCTGGAAGGGTTTCACGTGAACAAGTTCATTAAATCCTCCCCAGGATGCCCAGGAGTTTGGGATGGCGGCTCCATCAGGTTGGGGATGTGTTTTTCTACTCCTATGATGCTTGTTGGGATGGGCTTCTCAATTCCAGCTGGCGTTTTTTCAGCCCCTTTTGGTATCATCATAAGCCTTGTTTACACCAAATATCCATTTTCTTTCTGGAACTTGGGAATGTTCGTACATGCTGGGCAGAGGGTGCCTACTTGACGAGCCCCCAGTGAAAATCTTGGGCACCAAGTCTTCTATGGCGTCCTTGGTGGACAATACTTTACATATATCATCACAACTCTTTCCTGGGGGAGTCAGTGCGTTCCCATTGGTCCACCAGAGAGGACACTGGAAGCTGGCGCCTGGTCTCCACCCATCGCCAGGTGCACCTTTTCCCTCGGCTGATTTTGCTTGCATCCTCTCTCTGTGATAATCTTAGGCTTCGTGCCAGCCCTCGGCTTACATCCTTCCACATGCCCAGTTATTTGTTCATTTACCTGTTGCCCTGGCAGGGAGGTAAACTCTGCAAGGGAACCCCAAACCATGTGTGCCAGCTTCCTTGGAGCCCAGGGAGAGGGGCCGGACAGCGAGGGAGGCCCAGCCTCACCGCAGACAGACTGGATGACCGTGGCAGGGGGCAGAGAGCCCTTTTTCGCTGTGCAGGCCTGCAAAGTGCTTCACACACACCGTGGCTCAGGCTTTCCAGGTCACTGGCCGCATCTCACAGGTTGAAAGGAGCTCATGTTTCCTGAGCAGCCACCTATGTGCCCAGAGCTGCTCACAGTTCTTGGTCAGTCTTCACGGTGACCCTCAGGGACACTTCCCAAGTAGGGCTCCCCGAATGCAAGGGATAGGAGCCCCAATTCTGGCCAACATAAGCAAAGAAGAACTTCTTGGAAGGCTAAGCCCAGCTCAAAGAAAAGAAGGGAAATTTGGACACCCAAATCTCGGAAAGCGCAGGAACCAGGCCAGCTCAGGGTTCTGGGGAACAGAGCTTATGCATTTGTTTACTTCTGTTCCAAGTTCAAATTCCCAAGGAGCAACTGCAATGGGCTTTTCAGGTTTAATATGGTTTGTATTATTTTTAAATATTTTATGCAGCTACTTGAAAAGAATGAGTAAAGAATAATAGTTCCTGACCTGTTAACTGCTTGGTTAATAGTTGCTTGAATATACTAATCATTTTGAGAAAAACAGATATGGATGTAGACGAGTGGCTGCGTAATTCATACACCTCCTCTATAATTTTTATGTGTAGTTATGGGTCTTACCAATATCTATATAACAGATTTATTTTCCCTTAAGTCATAAAATATGAAAAGCTTTGAAGGTTACTTTAGACTTTTGTATGAATATTATTGCGATACATTTGACAAAATAATTCAGATTCCCAGGGGAAAGGGACTGGTGGCCGAGCTTGGCACTCACCCAGTCCCCAGTCAGTGGGGCACCTGGCACTCTGATCCGTATCTTCACCAAGACCACACTCTCAGGGAAGTGGTGGTCCTGGGGGAAATTGCAGTGCCGTTTCTAGAAGGGGGAAAGTATGCTGGACAGACAAGCAAACACCCTCCTTAAAAAGCACCACCATCCAATAAATAATAGCACACACAAAAGGCACCACTGTAAAGAGTACTGAGGTCATGCTATGCAAGAGAAACGGAGGTTCAGAGGGGAAATGACTCACTCGGGGGTGAGTGGCAGGGGAGTAGAGCGACAGGTGTAAGCCCAATTACTGCTGATTCTAAAGCCCCCATCAGTCATTCACTGGCCTCCGTCTCCTTGTCAAGGGCTTCACTCAAACAAATTTGAATATGACTCGTAACAACCACATGAGACTCATATTATTCCCCATTTGACAGCTGAGATAAATGAGGCTCAGAGAGATTCATAGCCAGAGGTCACAGAGCCCTCACGATGACAGTCTCTGCTCTCCAAAGAAGGGAATTTTAAGAGCATGAATCCTCTGTGGAAGGAATCTGTATCCAACACCCACAGGGTTTGGGCACAAGGCCAGGGGTGCTAAGCTAACATAAGGGAGGAAAAGGCTAGCATACAGTTGAATGTGGTCAAGCTCGTGTCAGGTCCCCAGGAGAGCCAATGGCCCACTCAGGGTTCAGGTGGGCTCCTGGCTCAAGCACAGCCAAGCCCGTGTCCAGTGTGCACACTCAACAGGAGGGCCAGTGGTGACGTTATCTGGAAGCCCATCCCTCTGCCACCAGCAAGAAGATGCTCACGCCTGGACACTCCTGACAGGTGGAGCAGGGGCATCTCTGTGATGCTTCAAGGTTCTAATTGTTTATATGATTTTTATTTGGGTGTTTTACAGCATGTGTGCCTTGGAATCTGTGTCCCATGGGAGCTCAGGGTCAGAGTTTAGGCTGGGAAACTAGATTATTGCAGGTGACGTTTAGCCCATGAATTTTACTCAAAGCTTGAATCATAGGAGTGAGCGTGGCCAGTCTGAGCAACCCTTCCTCTGCCTTCAGTGATTGGTCCAGGAGTGGGCATGTGACTCAAGACAGGTCAACCAGAGCCAAAGAGTTTTTCTTGGAAATGTTGAAAGAGAACCTCTTTCTGCCTGCACTGTGCTGGGGTCAGGTGCAAGCCTGGGCCTCCGGGGAGAGTAAAGCCAAGAGGTGGAGAAAAACGGAGGCCCGAGGCTGCTGTCAGGGCCTCTAACTGCATCTGTGCCTGAAACCGCATCAGCCTCTGGACTAATTAACCTCTTTTTTGCTTCAGTCACTTTGATTTAAGTTTTGGTCACCTGTTTCCAAGAGTCTTAACACGAGTAGCCAAAGAGTGACTAAGAGAGAAGAAATAGAAGGGAGACAGCTGGAGAATCAACGGTTTCAGTCCTTTTAATCTTTGCTCAAATGTAATTCATCTGTAGGCTGGGTTTGTGCCACCCAGGGTGGAGGGAACGCTGGCAATGATCTGTTTAACTTGACCCACAGAGATTAAAGGTCAGAGCGTGGTGCTTTAAGACTCTCAGACCCATCCTACTGGAAGCCGGGCCCATATAAGCCTGGCCCTTTTGAGTAGATGGCTATCCAAGTGCTGGTAAATGTTTAGCAACTGGCCTCCTGGGGTGTGAGGTGGGAACAGGGCAAGAAACCATGATTTAAATGTTTGCCACTTTCCGTAGCGTAAACCCGCCCGCACAGCCGATTTCAAGATCACAATGCGAAGTTGCTGATCATGAGTTGGGAAGAAACATGGAAAATCAGTTCTGAGGAGGCGATTCAAGCCGGCCTCACCTGTCACTATCTGATTCTCTCTTCCCTCCAGTCCTGCTGCCTTGATCTCAAATTTGCTCTCCAAGCAAGGCATTCACCGTACTGGTTAAGACTTCCTTTGTGGTGCATGTGGTAGAAACTCAACTCAAACTGGCTTAAGCAAAGAAGAAAAAAATTTTTTATCTCAGATCTGAAAAGTCCAGGGCACGGCTGAGTCTACATCCTCTCCCTTTTGCCTCTGCCTTCCCCTGGTGGGTTTGTTCCAGGAGGGGATCCCCAAATGGGTCAAAGATGGCAGCCTGCAGTTCCTGCTCACCCTCCCAATAGAGTGGCACAAAGGGATCGTGCCACTGTCCCAGCAACAGCAGCATCAGCCCCAGGGCTGGTTCCCATCACCAAGCTTTGGTCACTCACCTTGGGTGAGCCAGTCGCAGCGACCTTGAGGGTGAGCCACCCTGGAGCAAGGTGAGGCTGAGAGGGGAGAACCACAGGGTGCTGTGCCCAGAAGTGAGGTCAGGCCAGAGAGGCACACTCAGTGCTGTCTCCACTGAGTCTGATGTCCTTGCTGTTGACCCTGAGCTGACCTCAGCCCTCCCTGATTCTCATGGCTCTCAAAGTCCAAGGCTTTTGTGCCCATTATTGCAGCCAGGCCTCTGCATTGACCCAGTCCTGACCCCCACTGTTTGGCTTCTTCGTCACTTTCTCAGTCTGGTTCAAAGGGACCCACCCCGCCCTGCCACAGACCGAAAGAATTATCTGAGTGTCTCTCCTCGGCCACATAAATTAGTTGGATAATTCCCCCTGTGGCTCATGTCCACACAGGCCAATCTGGTTTTACTTTACTTGTCATTTTCCCCCAAGCCAGGTTTATTCTTTTTCTCCTACTCAATTTCCCATGCTCCTGCACGCCTCCCTGCCCCCCATCTCTACAGCTCATTTTCCAGCCTCTAGACCTCCCCTTTTCAGATTTTCTATCTTTTTCGTTCACCTCTATTGGAAATTGGGAGCTGCCAGGAGCAACAGAAATGGCAAACACAGCCGAAAGACGGAAAGTACTAAAAAAAGTT